GACTCACACTGAATGTTGCTTTATGATAACTAGTGTCTCTGCAATGTTTAAACACATTTACATTAAGATAAATCAAATTATTAAGCCCCAAAAACTATGTATCCAGAGGTTTTTTTTTTAAACAATTCCAGGAAAATATTATCAGTATAAACATTAAATGAGATACTAAAACATATTAAAACTTATTTCCAAATCCAATGGATCTTTAAATGTTAAAAAATAATACACAAACACAGGCTTTATTTCATATGAGATTCAGCTATCTATAAAGTGAGCAACTCAAGTTATTTTTTAATAAGAATACTGTACTGTTGAATAAATAATTACATATTTTAAAAATCAGTGTTGGGAGGCAACCACTCTATAGTTATACAAAACAATTCATTCAACTCAAGAGGATTTTAAGAAGTCAAAAGAGAGTTTGGCTAAGATAAGTGTATATCTTCTGTGGAAAAGAAAAAAGAGACAATTGACTATTCAGTAACCACAGGTGGTCAAGCCTTTCATTTCACATCACGTTTGACACTAGAACAACAATCTAACCAGCAGAAGTAGTATGCAACCAGACAGAAAACAAGCACCAAAATGGCGACCACAGAGTCCCTTGGCTGCCTCTCACTTTCTGGTGCTCATATATAATCACATTGATTGACATGAAGATATGTTCTCAATAGTTCTTTGCATCATGAAATAAATTCATTTGTATCAGAACTATTATTAAAAATGAGCCAGAAATTATAGTGATTCTTGCTTGTCTCTGAAACTCTAAAGTGACAGCCTCCAAACCCATATTTAAAAAGGGGGGAAAGGGACGGGATGGGTAGATCTGATCTTCTGTAAAAATAAAGTCCCAAACTGCCTTTCCACTCATGTCAGAATCAGACTTTACAACCTTGCCTTTCACCTTTTTGAAGATCACATGGGAATCAAAATTCGCCATTAATTGCTTGGCAAGATTATGAGAGCTTGAGAGAAGGAAACCACAGAATCAGTCTTTTTCATATCTATGTCTCAATCTTATACTGGCTAAAACTCTGACAATTAAAAAAAAACAGCTTAAGACAGTTGATCTGTAATGAACCCTGAATAGTAAGTAAACCATTCCAAGAATAGATAGACTTATAGTATTCATATCAGTACAGCTAATGGAAGTTGCTCTTAGTAAGGCACTTTATTTCTCCAAAATATTCAGGCAATAAACACAACTTCAGAAGGGAAGAATTACATCTTCATCTGACCCAATTCCAAACACCTGCATACCCTGCATGTGAACAAACAACCCTAATTCCTCAAAATCTTTATATGGCAACAGTTGTGAAGTGTACAGAACTTTTATCTCAGAAAATATTTTCCAACCTAAATGTTATACTGAGAGCATCTCTCCATAACTTCGAGCCAGCCTTACAGGGATTACTCATCAGTTTTACTTTGTCTCTAAACTATATTGGCAATATAAAATGTGGACCTCTCATTCCTTTTTTAATTTAGGAATAGAGTATGAATGTCACATATAAATAGGCAATGAAATCTGGAAACCTGTTTTTTTTTTCCTTAAATTGAACTCTATGATATGGAGACCATGAAATATTGTCTCTGTTTTCAAATATACTGAACAGAAAAAAAAAAAGTATTTTCCTACTGAAATAAAAGTTTCTGTTAAGTGAACATTACAATGGCCTACTACGCAGATGAAGTACAATGATTTGTGTTGAATAACAATTCTATAAATATATTCAATCATTTTGATAAATGAATAAAATATATCAATCAGCTTAACCGGTGAATATATCATGGCTACTACACATACTTTCTGCTTTCTGAGTATACTACATTAATACATTCTATTTTAGTTCTTAAATTTCTAGAAAATCAGCATGTTCACCATGAATAGTCTTAATGACTTTGCCCAAAACATATTTACTATTTAAACATCCATATGAATTCTGCCATTTAATCAATAATCATACATTGTCTATTATATGCTAAGTATCAGAAATACAAACATATATTATATTCTATATTAATTTATATTAATATATAGTGATTGTATATTAGCATTCTATATCAATATATCATATAATATAATCATACATAATTATATTTGCATATAATTCATTTCCTATTCCTTTCCTATTACCTTCCTATTCACCAGGAAGGTAAAATATGAAAAGAGAGCGTTTTCCAGGTAGAAAGAATAAAGCTGTGTCGTGCAGGGTCACCTGGTATATTTCTGAACATGCATGAAAAACTTGGCACAACAAGAACAGTGGGTCCATGGCAAGAAATGACAGGAGAGAAGACCAAGGCCATAGTTTGGTGCTACTTTATACAGAGTTTTATGCTAAGACAATGAGTTTTAGACTAATTCCTATAAAAACAAAGACACACAGTTCCCAAAGTAAACAATCCAACTCAATTGTCAGGAAAACAAGTCTTGTGGATATTGAAAGAAAGACGGGAGAGAGGAGAGGCTAAAAATCTGAGATCATATGAGAGACTTTTCCAACTGTCTACTTAAGAGATGAAAACCTGATGGAATCAAGAAACATTTCAGGCAGGAACAAATTTAGAAACCAGTTAGATATATCTAAGAGCAAGTGTCAGCATGTCACTAAAATGTACTTAAACCATTTGTATCCTGAGATCGGTCTGAGAATCTGATGAAAACCATAATCTTACTCACTCGTATGCATAATACAGAATTATCCATTCATTTTCAGAAGATCCCATAGGCCCTGCCTAAGAACTGTTGCTCTACATGAAGTTGCTTGAGGGAAGGAGCTGTATTTTATTCAAATCTGTTTCCATAGTGCCCCACAATAACAACAAGAAACTTGGTACAAAGTAGGCAATTCATAGTTTGTATCTAGTTGAACTGAGTTCTTCCTTACAAACTGGTTTCATTTTCACTAACATCCTGCATCACAGGATCCGTCATTCCAACTACAGAATGTAATTTAATATAATTTTCTTATACTCATCTTTGAGTATACTTAAAATAATCTATCTCTCCTTTATTTTTGTGGTATTCTTCAGGTTATAACTATTTATATTCACTCCTTCAAATCTGTGTGTTTATGCTTAGAGTAGTATCACAGGAAAACCAAACCAAGGGCTCCCTAAGAGAAGGCAATGGTCAAGATGCTGAGAGAGAAAGGCATTAGCAGTGATGCAATGCCAAATGGAGAGTATGATCTCCTTACCCTGCTGAACTGTGTACTACCATTTTCCCCCTTTCTTATCCTACGTTTAACCTTTATGAGAAGCCCAAAAAGTTCTATCATTGCACATAGGTAATATAAACTCACAGTAGAGAGAAAAAAGGAGGAATTATGGATAATATGATTTAGCTTGCCAACAAAGAGATAATCAGACAATAAAATATGCACGTACTCTTGTGAAGAGCTTATAATGTTTATAATCATGGACTCCAGAATGTCTGGGTAAACAACCCTGGTTCTCCTCTGTATCCGCTGTGATCTGAAGCAAATTATTTAACCGCTGTGTGCCTCAGTTTCCTCATTTATAAAATGAGACTAATAATAACACATCACTGTATTATTGAGAAGGTTACATGAGTTGATACACATAATGTGAATAAAATGCCACATCTATATAAGTGTTACACAGCGTTAGCAGAAATACAATCCTTGAGGGGAAAATCTTGGCATATAGTAATCCACCCAGTGAAATTTTGACCTATGAGGCTTAAAATGTTGAAAGAGTATTTAAATCTAATGTGAGTGACAAAACATAGCATCCATTTCACAGTTATTAGGAGATATCTGATTCTTCTTGTTGATTTAGTTCTACATACAGTAATGCAATAACATAAATAAGTGGGCATATTTCAATACCAAGCATATTTATGATATTTAATAATTTTCTAGAGAAAGCGAAAAAAAAAAAGCATTTCACAGAATCAGAGTCATCTTCAAAAGAATGAGATGGTATGAGGAAACAGTTTTGTTGGTGTAATCTGGTTCAAATTAATGGCCCTACCATCCTTGAAGTAGAAGAGGAGAAGGTCACAAAACCATGACATGTACCCAAGCAGCCATGTTGAAAAGGCGAGTGTGGCTTTCCTGGCAGCTAAGTTCCCTGCTACCTTGCCAACATGCTGATTCTGTGTATTTAAGTTCCTAAGAAGGACCTAAAAGCCTTACTGGTGACTGTGTGTGTGTGTGTGTGTGTGTGTGCTTTTAAGCTTCAGCCAAAGATGCTATGTTGCCTTCTTCCCTCTCATCCGTGAAACCACAGTTTCCTGATCTTCTGCAATGACAATGATCCAGACCCCAGGGTGAAGGGACAGATAAATTATCCTGAGTTGCAAATTCTGGAATAGGATGCATCAGGTAATTACTGAATGAATGAGACTGAGTTAGAAAGTACTGCAGTCATATTAAAAAAATATAGTTTCTATGAAATACATTCTCCTGTAATATTCCCAGTACTATAAAGGAATACTGGAATCCAATCTGGGCAAAGCAAAACATTGAAAAACATTGATTTATCATGGTGGACATGTTCAAAGTATGTTGTAACTCTATCTGGAAAAACCTTTTATTAGAAATACTATGACATCTAACTGTCATGCTGACTAACTTTAAATGTGTTACTTGAACATTATTCTTATATGTACATGTGTTTTCTCCTAATTAAATTGTGTCTCAAAAGCAAAATTCATGAAAAACAAAAAAGAGAAAAAAATAGCATGTCATATACTTCCTACCGGAATCAATTTACTTATAAGGAATTCTAAGATGTTAGGAGTGAATCTTGTGTCTGGCTGTTAAGTAGATGATAATTATAAAGCAAAGGACTGAAGCCAAACTATTAGAAGAGTAGACTGGTCAAAGAGTGAGTGAAGGCACAAGAGACCATGAGAAACCTACCATTGTACTGTGCTGAGAAGTGGGAGTCCTATGGCCACAAGTCTCTTGCGTCAACAGAGAAACTGGCTGAAATTCCTCAGAGTGAGGCTTGTTGGGAAAACTCACATGCAAGGGAAGGTGAAAGGCTGGGAGCCCGTCACTCTCCTCTTCTTCCACTTTCTGTCTGCTTGTCACCATGGCTACCTCTCCATCTGCTTCCCCATACGGAGAGGCTGGTCGCTTGGAAGACATCCTGGAAGGAACAAAAGAGGAGAAAATAATGAAACCTCCACATAAATCCTTAATGCCGTCATTGTGTGGTTAGGGGCCATTGTAACAGAAATGCCTTTTTGTGCTGGCAGAGAGCAGGAAACCATCCAAATACCACTGCAAAGCGCACACAATCAGAAACAATGGCCAAGCAGGTAGCAACAGAACAGTGCTTGTTTGTTGTGAGAATAATACACTAATATAGCACTCTCTTGTATTCTGGCTTCTTAAACAAGAGAATTCACCTAAGAACACTGCATATTGAAAGACCATTCCATTTTAAAGGGAAGAAAAATACCCATCTAGTTTTACACTTTGATAGACCTTATTGAAGACAGAACATCTATGAATAGCAAATACTGTTGGCAGTTAAAAGAAGGGAAAGAACTAAAATGTCTTTCATCAAAAAATAAACAAAATAAATGAACGACTGCCATTATAACAAATTTGCATTAAAAGTATGATTATTATGAATTGTAGAAATATTGGTTATAAGGAAACCACAGACTTCGTGGCCAAAAGTTTGATATTTGCTTAAAGCTTATTAGGAATTGAATAAATTTTGCAATTGCTGTGAATCTTGAAACATTTGGGAATTTTTCTTTCCTCACCTCCCCATTCATTTTTAATATCAAACATGCAAAGTGGTAAAAAAAAGTGAAAATATAAAAATATTTCAGTTTTAATTTCCACAATCCTATGAAAGACTTAGATGTGGATTCTCAGACTTATTTGCCCCTTAGAATACCTAAGTAAGAGGGAAAAATCAAAGGAAGATGTTTTGTTTTGATGAGCTAATGCCTATAAGGAAATGCACTTAGACACTTAAAAATTAAACACATTTTTGGGTATTTGAGTCTGACTAAGAATACTATCAGAGGTTAAAAATAATTGGCAAATATTCTTCGTTAAATAGAGTTCCCTTTCCTTTCACTACAAGTTTCTCATAGAAGCAGTATAGAGTTAAAATTTTTAATTAAAAAAAAAACTCTCTTGTATTTGCAACTTGATCTGACCTTGGGAAAGTTGTTATTTTTGCTCAACAAAGAGCGTTTACAGAATCATCCATTCTTATTCTAGACCAGTGAGAGAGGAGGCAGGAAAGCATTAACGGCCACACCACTTCTTTCATATATATCACTGATTTTTAAATTTGAAATTTACTACTAAAGAGTCCACACCACTTCTTTCATATATATCACTGATTTTTAAATTTGAAATTTACCACTAAAGAGATGCTTCTAATCATTGCCAAATAATACTATTCTTACTGTGAAAAGTTTCAAAAGAACAGTGTTTTCAAGTACTGAAGATACATTATTAAGAAATAATAGCACAGCAGAAAAAAATTAGGGCTTTGGAATCAGACAAACATGGATTCAAATACTGATTCTGCTACTTAATAGCTGTGAGACTTAGCTTTAATCTATCTCAATTTACTCATCTTTAAAAGGAGATGTAATATCTACTTGGAATGCTCTTTGAGAATAAACTGTGTACCATATGAAAAATGACTTGTAGAGCATTTAGCACAGAGTAGACGCTCAGTAAACAATAGGTGTTGTTTACTTTAAAACTACAGTGTTACCTAACCCCCCCAAAAAACAAAAACAAAAAAACAAAAAACTCCAAGATGAGGAAAGCAGATTACATTCTAAGAGTTAAACTGTAAAATCAACATGAAATACAAAATGTCCTGATAAGAGAAATGCTCCTTGGTCAGTCATACTTAACAATAAACTGATCAGATGTATTAGCGAGTGTAAAGAAGAAATACGAATAGCAAGAAGTCTTGATCAGCTGAAAACAGAGAAAGAGGAGAAAATGTTAGTGGCTCATCTAAAAGAGAAGTAGACTGGGCCATCACATTTCAGGTACCTTCAGTTTTTCTGATCTCATTACTAATGTTTACTCCAAGTATACTCTTAAGTATGGAGAAAGGAAGGAAGGGGCTGGAGCTAGAATAGTCCTAGTCTCACTGGCAATACCACATCTATCACCAAATGGAAAAATTAAACTATATGTAATAACTCTACACACTAGCGATATTAACTTCTACTGTTCTGCTTCCATGCTCTCCAAGCAAACTTCTGATTGTCATGTAGAGAATGGGCTGACAGAACAGATTTAAAATATTTAAGGTCTTTGTGATTTATCAGAGTAAATCAGTAAAAGGACTTTTAATTATTTCTTGTTTTACATGTAGTTTGACTATAAGGAGGCTATGCATTTATACATAGCCACAGTATTTATGGTCTGTGTAGGCATTATCACTGTTGGTGAAATTAATAAATTGGTATTCAGTGTCTACCTCAGTCTTATGTACAATAAATCTCTTACTATCCAAAAACTCCAGGCTATTGGCAAAAGCTAGTCTCTGGGTTATTAAAGCAGAAAGCTAGATCAGCTGGCCTTTCCCAAGTTAATGCAGTTCTCTGACCTTCATAGAAAGCATGACTCTTTTGCTGATTTCTACTTTATTAATAGCATTATTAATAATGATTATGAAAATTGAAAGTCTAAAAGTAGACATAAGGTAGATATGGTAAATAGTTAAGACACTGCTACTTTTTGCAAAACATCTAGTCATTTCAATATCTAAATTATCTTTCCATACCACTGGATAAATAGTCTCTTTCTATATATATATATCGTTCTATGGAGCAAAAGCATAAGGTCTAAAACACCTAAAACAATAAACATGAAGGAGTCGTGATGCCAGAAGGCACCTGATCCTAAACAGTTACATATTTCATGATTATTTAAAATTCAATTTTCAGACACTTACAGAATGTTCTTAATGTGCCAGAGTTGAGAATATTTTTATACAACTCAGGTTAAAGAAGTCTTAAAGATTTAAAAAATTTTGCAATAAAAATGCTCATAGTTCAAAAATAGGCTACTAAATCAGAAAAAAAGGCAAATACTTAAATTATGTCGAGAGCTATCAATTTGCTTGATATTTAGTCTGACTCATAGAACTTCTAAAAATGTTGATAACAAATCACCAATAATGTTAATTCTTGAGTTTCTGTTCATCTACCAAACCGTTTCATTTTGGACAGAAGAAAGTTCCATTCATTAAAAAACAAAAACAAAGTACTTTCAGTGCTAAGTTATTATTTATTCTGGTCTCTATTTTATTTGTTTCTGATTTTTCCTTGTTATTTTCTTCCTGTACTATATTTCAGCTAAGTTTCTTCTTTTTCTAGTTCCTTGTGGTATAATGTTAAGTTTGCTAGTTCCTTGTGGTATAGTGTTAAGTTCAAACATTATTTGAAATGTCTTAAGACAAGCATTTATAGCATAAATTTCATTCTTACATCAGCTTTTGCTACATCCCATAGGTTTTGGAATATTTTGTTTCCCTTTTCATTTGTTTTGAGACATATTTTGATTTGCATTAAAAAATTTCTTACTATTGAAGAGTGTTCTACAAATGTACAATTCCATTGGAATTCCATTGGAATTCCATTGGAATTGGAATTGTACATTTCTACTTTCTGTCGAAGTTTGCTTTATGTTGAAATTCTGTTTTATCCATGCATATTAACAATTGCTATATCTTCTTAAAAAAACAAATAATATAGGAAGATGTATGATAATAAAAAAAATTCACTGCAACTTCCCATATATTGTTTATATGGGATACGTAGGGTTCCAATTCCTGCACTTGCTTATATGACATACTGTGTTGTCTTGAAATAATCTGAGGATCTAGGCTGGAGCATGCTCTTATGTATTCATCCAGAGATGATTTTTGTCATTCCTGTGGTAGGTGCTAGACTTGCCCATGAATAAAACTCAGACTTCAAAGAATATGACATGAGACAGACAAATATAATCCAGTGTGAAACTAACCTGTGGAGCTATGATGATATAATAGAATCTTAAACTCAGTTTTGTGTGTGGACAAGAAAATCTTGAAAGAACTGATGTCTAATTTTAGGGCAAAAACACATGTCTAATTTGAACCTTCAAATCATCAACAACCATTTACTGGTCACTTACTGTGTGCAAGACCCTTATCTAATGGTAATAAAAACGTGTAATTCAAGTTCTCTGCTTTAAAAAACTTATGCACTGGTGGAGGAGACTTGGAGAAATAATAATGAAAGACAGTTCAGGTTAAGGGCCAAACGATTGGCCCTACAGCTGAACACCTGAGGGCTTCATGAGGACCAGGGGATCCTGGAGTATTTCTGGGAATGACTGACCAAGTGGATTTTGGGGGGAAAAGAAAGTCAAATGGAAACTCTGGGATAAATGGAGAGGGAATTTTATGTAGGAAGTGATGATACAAGCAAAGATGCAGAAAGAGTCTTAGAAAGTACAATGTATATTTAAGTTTCAAGCTGACTTAGGAAAAAAGGACATCAAGGAATATGGACTAAACCCTAGCTTGAGTCTATAGCATTCCTGGACTTGCTGAGTTACATGCATGAAATAGATAAGAAACAGCCTTCCTTATAAGGGGCATCTTGTTTTTACATGGAGTCCCTTTTCCTTTACTTGTCCTTATAGCAATCTGCACAATCAGCCCACTTAGTCCACATGTGAAAGTAATTTAAAAACTCCTGGAGTCTTTGACGATTGGCTAAGGCCTCTCTGTGTGCACTGTCATCACTCTGTAAGTAGGATGTCCCCAGTTGTACTCAGACATGTATAGCCAACTTAGGGGTAAGGTAAAGGGTATGAGACTGCAACATAAACTAAACCATGGATTCTCAAACTTGGCTGCAAACTAAAATTATATGGAGAGGTTTAAAAAGTACTGCTGCCTGAGTCCCACTGCCAGACATTCTAATGTTATTGGTTCTGGAATGGAGATGGAGCATCAGAATTTTTTAAAGCTCCCAGATGATTCTAATGCACAGTCAAGGTTGCAAGCCATTTGCACTAGTCAGAATAATGCTCCTCACTCAAGATGTCCCAACTGCGATCCCTGAAGCCTGTGAATATGTTTACTTTACAAGGCAAAAA